AAAATCCTATTCCCAACTTAAAATCCAAATAAACATTTAGTGGGAAAAGTTGAGAACAGTGGGTTAGCAGTGTTTGTTTATTTTTATCTCTCTTTAAACACAATATAGATTTCCCTGTGGGAGTAACAAGCACTGTTTTAGAATTTCTTTTTAAAAACCTGGCTTACCTGGCAACATTTATATATCATTTGTTCAATCGTTTATACTCCATTAATCCAGGTTATATAAATTAGATCAATGTGATATTCATAACCTTGGCCACCAACCATTATTTTAATTTAGGTTTCCAGTCTTTCACTCAGCAACATTTTAGGTAACTTAAACATACAGTTGATAGTTTTCTCCTCCTTCCTGAAATGAACTTGCACATGCTTAAGTTCCTCACTGCAAATAATTTCATAACATGACTAGTAAAGGAAAGACACTAAAAATGCCTAAGCTGAACATTTAGATTTAGATAATATTATCCTATGATCTGCTCTATTTGTTACATAAGTTTTCCATTTTAACGATATAGGTAAACACTGCAAAGGAAAAAGTCGTTTCAGAGAATAATTGTAACTGGCAGCAAAATGCGCGTCATGACATTACACACACGAATTTCCAATGTCGTTAGGTATATCAGTCATGCAGCTGTTATTTATCCTTTCCTGACTGGGTTAGTTTCTAACTGGTATGCGAAAAAGGAGGCAAGAGCATGAGGCCAGCGCCTGTCAAAGCTAATGCAGCATGTCACCATGGCTTATCGGCTTGTCCTTGCTTTCAGACTCTACCCTGTCAAGCATTTATCCCAAAAGTGAAGTTCACTCTGATAAACAAGCCTCATTTTCCTCTTACTTTAAACTCAATACCACCACCATTTGGCTATTCATACATCTGTTCAGCAACAACAACCTTTCCTTATAAGAAAATCTTTTGTTACAAATACTTAAAGAAAAAGCTGTTTACACTCAGATGCCATATTTACACAACTTATTTAATGCTTTTGACATTAAATTTAGGTTTGCAATGCATTATCTCCAGAAAAAATATTCCAAGCCCAGTGCAGTTTGGCAGCCTTCCAATTTGACAAGCAAAGATGGTCGTTTTTGTGGGTTGAACCATCCACGAACTTAACCGATTTGCAATTTTTCTTTTAATCCTCAAAGTAAGAAATGTGAGGTTGATTGCAAGAGACCATAAAATGAACATGCAGTACATTATAAAAACACTGTTCAGAGGCAGTTAGCATATTCCTGATGGCTTTTAAGGTAATGTGGATGCAAAATCATGCACATCTCTCTGAGAAGAGACCAGAGTACCTAGCCAAGGCTACGGCTAACGGACAACAGATAAGATACCTGTGACTGAAATCTGGGGGCTGGCAAGCAGGTTATGACCCCTCTCATACATAGAC